TGCCCGTCGGATGGCTCTGTTCCATGCACGAAATCGAACAACATGGGTTGGCGCTATCTATACTACACCTGCGGAGCCCTCGTCTTCGTCATGAGCATAGCCCGCGTGACGGTGATCCGATTCCACGAGACGCCCAAATACCTGCTTTGCCAAGGCCGTGACGAGGACGTAGTCAAGACCTTCCAGAATCTTGCCCAGAAATATGGCCGGACCTGCGACCTCACTGTAGAGCAGCTTGAAGCATGCGGACATGTCAGCAGTACTCACGCCAAGAACCACGCCTCCCTGTCGGAGATGCTCATCCATCTGCGCGGCCTTTTTGCCACGCGATGGATGGGGATTTCGACGGCCTTAGTCTGGTTCTCCTGGGCGCTCATCGGTCTGGGATACTCGCTGTACTATGTCTTCTTGCCCGACTACCTCACGTCCAGAGATGCAGCTGCAGGAGATACGTCCCCCTATCTCACGTGGCGGAACTACGCCATCACCAATGTCTGTGCTATTCCTGGGCCCATCATGGCAGGGTTTATGTGTCAGACTAAGCTCCTCGGACGGAAGTACACCATGGCGACAGGAGCTCTAGCTACGAGTAGGCAATACCATTTACAACTTTTCCACGGACCACAACTGACGTGATTACCACCAGTGATCTTCTTCTTCGCGTATACCGCTGTTCGCACTGCTTCTGAGAACCTAGGCTTCAGCTGCGCGATCTCCGTGACCATCAACATCTACTACGGTACACTGTACGCCTATACCGTCGAGGTCCTGCCATCCGCCCACCGCGGAACCGGCAACGGCGTCGCTGTCGCCTTCAATAGACTAATGGGGACGATGTCCGCTATTATCGGGACCTTTGCATCCACGTCCAGCTCCGTGCCAATCTATGTCTGCGCGTCGCTGTTGGGCGTTGCGGCCATCATCTCTGTGCTGTTTCCGTTTGAGACGAGGAGCAAGCGGCCTATCTAGTCGTGCAGATATCTGGCATGGAATGAGGCCAGTTCAGCACTGTGCATGATTTTCCAATTTCAGGGTGCCATCTGGTTATATGTAATATTTACTATACTATACGATTTGGGCGGTATGTAATGCGCATGTAAGGGGATTGTTGGATACGACAGGAAATGAGCCGTCAGACGATTTGATTGCGACTTGGTCTTGTATTTATATTCACCTATGGACATGACTTTCAACAACGAGATGACATACCGGAATATCAGCATAGACGTTATACCATTCCCGGCAGAGCATTCAATGTCTGCGTCCAGGAGCAGTACTGATATTTCCTCCCTATATATGGATTGTTCTTCTTGGCACGCGACTTGAAGTCAAATGACAAGCCACACAGTCGAGGCTTGAAAATTGAATCGATATCTATGACAGGCTAATGTTGGCTTATAAACACAGAAAGTGTCCTGTCAACGATAGACTATGGAGAGAGAGGCTATATATTAAATGCAACCTTCGGTGACATCAGACCTCAAAATGGAGTCTTCACGTATGTTCATCTTCACGGGAGATCCTTCATCCCATGACTTCTCCAATGCCTCCTCTGACTGATATTCTAGTTTGCATGCTGACGCTTTCCACGGGAGATCTGGGTGCCTGCTGGATATAATAACTCAGATCTGGCTCGCTCTCGCGCTCGACACTGGAATACCCTTGACCCCAATACGCAAAGCAGTTGCCGTCGTACTTCACTCGAAATCCTCCCGTCGATCCAGCTGCAAGAAGTCGCGGTACTGCAGGCCGCGTCCGGGACAGTCCAGACCATACCTTGCATGAAGTCCTGCGTGGTCGCATTGAAATCCTCCTGTACGGCACACCGCACATCAAATGAGACAGCTCGCTGCGTGCTCATCTTCCGGATCAGTCGCATGAAGTAATCAGTCGTCTCCTCCAGCGCGCCCATCAGGCTGCCATTTGCGATCGGCGTGTTTGGCCCGAGGAAGATCAAGTAGTTCGGGAACCCGGACACCGTGAGGCCGCAGTACGAGAGAGGGTCGTCCTTCCACAGCTCGCGCAGTCTGGCGTGACGTGATCGATTGTGTCGAAAAACGGGCTCCACGTTGTCTTTCTGCAGCGCTTCAAGGTACCGCTCCCCGGGGTTGAACACCAGTACGGATTGGGGCAGAAGCTCGCACGCACAGCCTGAGAGCAGTCATTCAGTACAACCTTGCTTCTCGAAGACGCAATCTCACCTGAACATGGACTTCCAAACCACGTTCTCCCCAAGTTGACATTCTTCTCGAATATCTCAAACTGTAGACCATCCTCTCCAAAGACCTGTTGGAGCTTGTATCCTTGAGCAGACTATGACCTTGTCATTGCTTGACAGAAGCTAAAGACCAGATAAAAAGTCCATTCAAGTGAATCGTAGCATAGCACAGCACAGCATACCCATGAAAATTCCAGAGACAGACCCTGTCAATTCTCCGTATCTGATAAGCATGAATATGATAGATAGATAGTCGCCCCCAGGCCGGCCCGAAGCCAATCGATCCCGTGATCGGCTATAATAATAGCGATCGGTCGGTCGGGGAGAAGGGAGGAACCTTCTTCCCCTCCCCGGCCGGGTACCCCGGCCGGGGTACATAATAATAATAATAAATGATATAAACGACGATCGATCGATCGGCTCGCTAAACCGCTTTCAGGAATCTCTACCCTTTTGCCGTTTTGGGAAATTCTTTCCTTTGGATACTGCATGCCGAGTCAGGGCGAAGTACGCCGTTTGATAAGGGTGTATCGTATGTTACTGTACATACATCCTGTGCGTGTCCATAAATGAATAATGCGTGTATTGCGCCATTATTGGGCCGCAAGCCAGCAATGCAATCAATGTCTGCAGACAGCGTCCACACGTACGATAGATTTTTATTGATGGGAGCTTTTCCATAGTCTGGTCCAGCGATTGGTGACTGCTCATCGGCCGGGAAGAAGAAGATCACCAGAAGAAGGTGATAGCCGGCGAGACAGCCCTTATCAGATACGGTCACCATCCTAGGAAGGGATATCGCGTTTTTGTTCCGGGTTGGCGTGCGAGTCAGAGAGGCAAGATAAGATGCCTTGGCGTGGTGACTTTCTTCTTGATTCTGTTCGGTTCAGTGAAGCAAGGCTGTATCTATCTATCTATCGATCCATCCATCTTCTCTTACGGAAAGCAGATGAACTTTGTGGCCATCGTCATCTTTATCGCTGCTATTAAAAAGTATAGCTTCCGCTTTTGCGTACTGGCACGTGCCTTTGTAAATATTAGGAAATAGATATCGCGAGAATTACAGCAAAAAGATAACAAGGAACATAGTTACAAAGTCCGCCTCGACAGTAGATGACAGACACTACCTAAAAATAAAAATATTGATCAAGGATAAAGACAGGGATAAAGACATCGACTGACTATAGTACGAAGTCCTTGGCATAGACAGCTACATGGATTTTCTCTCGAGACAGCAAAACCTGCAAGGCTTTGTTAAATTTTGATAATTCATTGCCAGACTGTTTTACGCTAGTTCTAATGATTCTCGCTCAATACGTAACTTATCGCTTGTATAAATTTTACCTATTGGCCCATCAGGTATCTATGATACTTCACGATTATCTATACTCCGTAAGAGCGTAGATGCTTCTAGATAGGCATGGAGGGCATGTTGATGATACAATATCGGGGAGATTCGGTATATTTCCAAGGTCGATGCGCCTATCTTTGCGGCGCACGTGTCTAGACTTTAGGGCTTGCGGCGTTATCAGTTCCTGCGTCGCGTCTAGAATATCTAGCACGGTGCTGTCGTCTACCCGCTAGTACTATGATAGTATAGTAGTAGTGCCATAGCCATGGAGCTTTCTCCCTGCTTTATACAAATTAGGAAATTATGTGCTCACCTGATGGTCTCGAGACAAGATAGACGCGCTGCGATTCTGGGGCCGGTCGAGCGAAGAACTGCAGCGGAATCGCGACTACTGGAGCCCATAACTGCATCTCCAGTTTAGTATCATGCCATCCCAGCATGCTCGACCATGCGTTTCTGTACTCGTCGCAGTCGGCCCAACTGGCGGTCCCGAACACCTCGTCGTTGGAGCTGGCGCTGATCCACACCGCCTGGACCGTTTGGCTGATCGACATGATTGCGGAGAAGACTTTGGGGCCACTGATCCTTTCCTAGGGTATTGCGCGGCCATGTCGCGACGATCCATCTCTACTCCTGCCGTGCAGCCGACCGCTGCGTCCCACAAACAGCGAAAACACGCTGGACAAGTGAATAAAATTCTTGGGGGAACTTGCGGCTGTGTGGGTTGTGTCAGGTGATTGTACGCCAAACTCCTTACTTCACTGACATAATCCGGGATGACCTCCATTCTGGGCAGGCGAGGAAGGCCGACATAGATCAGTAAACGGCTGGATACGTTGGTCGAATCCGCTCTTTCGTCTAGTCAACAACCCCCGGCGAACCGGAATCTGCGCGGAGGACCGTGTCGATCAATACGGCCTTGATGTGGGATTCTCGACTACACCTGTCCCAATACGTTATCTCGCAAGCCGGGTCGAGGCCTGTTTCATCAATCGCTGTGTCCAGAACCCGACCCAGACGAGAACGCCGAGGACGACACAGTGGAGACGCAGATCTTCCACCATCCGACGACGGTGGACACATCGAATTTTGGGGGGGAGGGTGGCGCGTGGGGCAGGAGCTGCTGCGTATTCGGGCAGTCGAAGTCGAACTCTATCTCGCGATTACCGGGAATGGGGACATTCTGGGCCAGTAGCAGCAGCGGCGGGGGGTGTTGTTGAGGGCAGACAGGCGCAACATCCGGAGACAGCGACAGCAACGTGGCCGGGACCTGGAATCATGGGCAACTGCTCCTTCATGGACATCACACGAGACCCGTCCTTCCAATTTCAGGATCACGGCAGCCCTTATCTGGGATTGTGGGGGATTGAGAATTTGTAATAACAATCAATAATCACGAGAATTAACTATGAACAGGCATAACAACCATTAGTCAGAATTTGGAAAGCAAACCCAATACCTACTTTGCTGTGCTGCGTGTTCTTGCCAAAGCAAACGAGAAAGACTAAGCACTCTGACTAGAGACTAGAGCTCTAGTCGACAAGTCTTAGTCAATTAGAGATGAGCAAATCATGAAGGATTAGGCTGACTATAACCCCAATAAGCAAAGGGGTTGAGCAGCTTCCATATTCCTTTGTGTCGGGTAGCCGTGAAGCACACGGCGCAGATCGCTGTCACAATAGAACGCAAATGCGTTGGCCGCTCTTGCTGTTGCTGTTGCTTTATGTTCCTCCACAGCTGGGTCAAGGGACCATTCTCGCCATTGACGGGGTCGTGCAAGGGCATCTCCACCGACTGAATCTCCTTTGCAACGCTGCCGTCCGGGTCGACGGGGTCTCTGCCGTATTCGTTCCGCCAGTGTGGAGCGCCCTGCATGTAATAACAGTATTAGCTTGCTTTCTGTGGAGAAAAGGAAAGAAGAAACCTTAACAATAACAACGACTAGAAAAGTAAAGAAAAAAACATCAACAAGAATAATAATGACTAATGGGTAATGAACTGCAGGTACGTGCTGTACAGTACAGTAATGTACTGTACTATCATCTGCCTTCGTATTCTTTTGTTGGCTGTTCTCTTGAAGAAAAGAAGAGAGACAGGAAAGTTGAAACCTTCGGATACACCCCAACATATCGGTAGTCCAAGCTGCTCTGCAGAGAGCAGTGCGCTGTCCCTGCAGGAATAACAATCACGTCCCCCGCTGAGACGTTCAGTTTGACTCCGCCGGTTGTGTCGTTAGCGCCGCAGCCGAGCAGGAGGGTCGATTCGCCTTGAAAGATGCCTATAACGATCGGTTAGTCCAGGTCAGTTCAGATAAAGCTAAGCGCAAACGGTAAAAGAAAGCGAGGGAACGATAAGGGAACAACAAAGTGACACTGGCAAGCAACTAACCATAACATTCGTGGGTATTCGGATGGAAGTGTCGAACGGGAATATGCCCCCAGACACCCTGCTTCACCCACCCGTTGGCCTCGAGGAAGCTGGTCGTCCTCTCCTGAGACAGCGGCAGCGGCAGGACATCACGGTAGATCAAGACTGGCAGGACGCTGTTCGGGGAGTGCTTGTTAGGGGGGATGAAGTGCTGCTCTGGTGTGAAGGCCATTCTTTTCTTTTCTGTCTCGAGATATTCCTGGTTGCTCTCTGTCAGTAGTAAACAGGGTCGTCAGTGAAGAGTGCAGATGCCAGCGGTGATATAACCACAGGTCAGGCCGTAAACAGGCATGGATATCCGGTCCGCCCATGCTGGATGGTGAGCTGTCGAACACGTCAGATGGCGATAATGCCTGGTAGCAGTTTCCCAGGAAAGCAATGCTATCCTGCGGTCGAGAGCAGAGATAAGATAGCAGACCCGAGGAAGGAACGACCCGAACGCGCTAACGGGCAGCCGCGGGGTGTCGGCCGGACTCCGATCACTGAACAGTCGTTAGTCATCCATTTCTGTCGAGCAACACAACTTCAATTCCCACGAGGACTGTGCTGCGAGTAGTGCCGCCATAGATACTGCCAGAATACTGCTGTTATAAGGTCCAAGGCTAGATATCGCTTGTAGTCCCGCAGACGTATCTGCTGAATTCCAGCATGTGATCCTCTGGCAGTAATAATACCAGCGCCGACGACAATGGTCAAGCCAACTCGACAAGACAATTTCTCGATATCTCATCACTCTCCCCCTCCACGCAAGCGATCCACGCTGATGATCCGCTGAATGTCGTCGACGATGTCGCTCCTCCGATCCATGTCACCACCACCTTCCGCTACCCCAGGGAACCAGAGCGACTGCGCCTGTACCATGAACGGTCGTACCCCATTTTCGAGCCCACGGAGCACTGCTACTCGCGCCAGTCCACCCATGGCACATCGCGGCTGGAGGCCGTCCTGTCGACCCTGCTGAAGAACCCCTGCGTGACATACACCTCCGGTCTCGCCGCGTTTCATGCCTTGGTCACTCTGCTCAACCCCAAGAAGGTCTCAATCGGAGCAGGATACCACGGTATCCACGGCACACTGAAGCTCCATCAGAGACCGACAGACTGCAAGATCCTCCCGCTGAACTGTGATCTCAACGAGCTGTGTGAAGGTGATCTCATCCACTTGGAAACACCCGTCAACCCTACCGGCCGCGCACTCAATATACAGTACTATGCTGATCGCGCGCATTCGAGGGGCGCCTATCTGTCTGTGGATTCGACCTTTGCGCCGCCTCCTCTGCAGGATCCCTTCCAGCATGGAGCCGATTTCGTGCTGCATTCGGGCACCAAATACATTGGCGGCCATTCGGATCTCCTGTGCGGCGTTCTCGCGGTGAAACAGACCGAGTGGCTGCAGAAATTGCTCGATGACCGTCTGTTCTGGGTTCAGTCATGGGTGGTCTGGAAAGCTGGCTGGGCGTGAGGAGCCTTCGGACGCTGGAACTGCGAGTGCTCCGGCAGAGCGAGTCCGCACAACGCATCGTGACTGCATTGAACGATGCCGTGACTGGGAAACAAAACTCGAGCCTTTCTTCCGCAGACGCGGAAATCGTCCGGACCGTGGTCAAGGAGGTGCACCACGCCAGTCTGCAGACGGAGGATAGTCAAACATGGCTGAAGAAGCAGATGCCCAACGGGTACGGACCTGTGTTCTCCATCGTCCTCCGCACTCCCGCGCTGGCGAAGCAGCTACCGAGCAAGCTGCATTTGTTCCACCACGCGACCAGCCTGGGCGGAGTCGAGAGCTTGATCGAATGGCGGACCATGACGGACGCGACAGTGGATAAGGATCTGTTGCGGATCAGCGTCGGCGTTGAGGACCCGAAGGACCTTCTGGGCGACCTGGTTCAGGGATTCAGAGCTGTCAACAGTAAGCAATAGCCTCCAAGTCGCCATCCACGTGGGAGTCTTCCGTCCACGTGATAGAGACGGCATGATGTGTCCAAGATAGACATAGACATCTGACCATGAGATCTTGCTAGCTATAAGTATACTTACATGGTAGATCGATTGGTTTTCTTCGAGGGGATGCGAGTGTCCTCTGTGGCAAAGGCGTTCTATCTACCAAATTCGAGCAAATACAGCGAGGAACACATAGATAACGACTACCTAGATATATAGTAGAAGATCCATGGTACAGACCAGGTATTTTCTCTTCAAACCTGTGGAGCGAATCGAGCCCTCTAAGGCTTGTTCATAGGTCATCACGCAATCTCTTCCCCTTCTGATACAAAATAAACAGGGAAGAGAGGTAAATAAAATAAATGAAAACATATAACAGCGTAACAATAATATTAATTTCTCACCAGTTTCCCTTATGTGTAAGGTAGGGTCTCTAGTGTAAGCGAAGACCTTCCTGTCATATTCACCTGCAATTTAGGAGAATCTCAGGCAATTATTTACGTAGCCCTATATCCTTCGACTAAAAACCTGCGACTTGTAATGAGTTGAATTTTAGAACTTGCAGTCTTCTGAGGAAAGCCTAAATGAACTAAACAACATAGGAAAGAAATACCCAACATTGGTTGCAGAAGGGAGGGAAAATGGAGAAGAGTCAAGAGAGAGAAAGGGAAAAAAACACCCAAAAAGGATACCTTGTGATTCTCAAAAATCAAGAAAGAATTCCAACGAAATTGCTCATTTTCCCGAGAATCACATTCTTAAGAGAAACATCCAGCGCTTGTCAATTTACCACCCAGTCACCTCAACAGGATTCAAAAGTAACGCATGTCTTTTAGCCTTAATGGACTCAGCTCAAGTAGAAGGCAAAGAGGTTCCCTTCTAAACAGCTCCATGCTCAAGCAATAGATGTATAATGTCATACCTCACAAAATATTCAGCAGCTCCTAAAGCAGTCTGAGACTTACCAACTCGTAATTTTGCATTGACATCTGCTCCTGCATCCAGAAGTAGCTTGATAGTCTCAAGTTGTGACCATGGTGTCATGATTGCTGCTGCTAGGGCACTGCCATAGTCTCCACAGGTGAGTTGTTGATTTACATCTGCCCCAGCAGCTAGTAAGAGCTGGATGGTCTT